TAGACTGATGCCCTCTTGACGGACCCTCTCCAGGACTCCCGGAAGCAGAGCGATCGGGGGAAATGCGTACAGGCGAAGCCTCGGCCAGGCCTGTACCATGGCATCCAACCCCAGTGGGGCTGGATGTGAGAGGGAGAACCAAAGTGGACAGTGGGACGTCTCTCGAGACGCAAATAGATCCACTTCCATCGGTTCAAACCTCTCCCATATTAACTTCACTCTGGGTGAAGTCTCCATTCCCCGGGCCTCAGCCCCTGCCTCGACAGGATGTCTGCTCCCTGATTCTGAACCCAAGGAACGTACATTGCTCTGATAGACAGTATTTTCCCCTGGGACCAAAGAATAATCTGATGCGCCAGTCTGCACAGAGGGCGCGATCTGAGTCCCCCTTGTCGGTTCAGATAGGCTACCACTGACGTATTGTCTGATCGTACTAAGACATGGTAACCTTTGATGTCTGGGAGGAAGCTCCTCAAAGCCCTGAACACAGCCATCATCTCTAGGCAGTTTATATGCCAAGAATGATGATGGTCCTGCCACAGACCCCTGGCAAAGCGGCCGTCCATGACTGCGCCCCAGCCAGTGAGGGAGGCGTCTGTCGAAACGGTTTTCCGGCGACATGACACTCCCAACACTGGCCCTTGGGATAGGAACCAAGGTTTCTTCCATATTTGTAGAGAACGAAGGCATCTGCGCGTTACTCTGATCATACGAAACGGATTCCCCTTGGGAGAAAACCCCTTGGTTTTTAACCACCACTGAAGGGGCCTCATGTGTAGAAGGCCCAAAGGAATGATGTTGGATGCCGCTGCCATGAGGCCCAGCATTCTTTGAAATTGCTTTACAGTGATGGCCTGGCCTAGCTTTAACCTGGATACCATCGCCAGAATTGACTCGATACGTGCGGGAGACATTCGTGCCTGCATCGTAATCGAGTTTCACACGACTCCCAAAAACATCGTGCACTGGGACGGTTCTAGCACACTCTTCTTCGTATTGAGTCTCAACCCCAATTTCTGAATGTGGCCAAGGACGACATCTCGATGCTGAACTGCCATTTCTCGAGACTGAGCCAGAATGAGCCAGTCGTCGAGATAATTCAATATACGAATGCCTTGAAGTCTCAGTGGAGCAAGAGCTACATCCATACATTTGGTGAATGTGCGGGGAGAGAGTGCTAGGCCGAACGGAAGCACCCGATATTGGTAAGCTTCACCCCCGAAAGCGAACCTCAGGTATCTCCTGTGACATGGAAGGATGGAGATGTGAAAATAGGCGTCCTTTAGATCTATCGTGACAAACCAGTCCTCGGATCTGATCTGACTCACGATTGCAGGAATGGTTAACATTTTGAACCTGAACCTCCTCAGAGACCGGTTCAAAACCCTGAGATCTAGAATTGGCCTTAACCCCCCATCCTTCTTTGGAACTATAAAGTACCGGCTGTAAAACCCGGACTCCCTGTCTAAAGGATGAACACGTTCTATGGCTTCCTTTAGCAGCAGAGTCTGTACTTCTTGTTCCATCACCTGAGCCTGCTCTGGGACCACTGTAGTTTGCACCACCCCAGAGAACTTGGGGGGGCGGTGCGCGAACTGCAGTCTGTACCCTGATTCTATTATATGCAGGACCCATGCAGATATGTTGGGAAGATGATACCATGCCTCTACAAAATCTACTAGGGGTACCAGCCTCTCGAGACTGGCCTCTGGTGTTTTTCGAGCATCTTTCTCGACTCCCTGAAGCGGAATACCGGCAGGCTGTAGTCGATACGGTTCTTGTGACCATAATTGATGCTTTTTCTTTGTTAGAATATTTTCGCTGGAAAGAGATGCGGCCCGAAGCGTCGTTGACGGCGGGCAACATACATCGTTTCCTAGAGGGCCCCGCTGCGAGAACAACCTCGGTTGCTCTGCAGCGGAGGGGACAACCCTCAGAGGTCCTACCACTTCGGCTAGGACCTCTTCCCCGAAGCCCTCCTAGCCTGAATGACGTCCCTCAGGTCGCCTTTCTGGCTGGAGGACTTCGATTTCTGAGAGCGTTTCCTCTGTTGCCAAGCTCCAGGAGGAGGGGCTCTAGAGGAAACGCTCTCTCTCTGCTCTGCCCGGTGTGAGGAGCTGGATGACGGCTGGGGCTGATCTCTTGGCCCCACCCTACTCGATTTAGCCTTACGGGGGAGGTACTGCTGGAACGCCGCAGATTGTTTCTTTGCCTCCTGAAACCTGTCGACGACCGAAGTAACGGCGTCGCCGAACAGGCCAGAAGGCGAAAGCGGCGCATCCAGCAGAAAGGATCTATCTTTCTCCTTAATACCAGATAGATTCAGCCACAGATGTCTCTCCGTGGCCACCATAGCTGCCATAGAGCGGCCAATGGCGCGGGCCGTCTCTTTTGTGGCTCGGAGAGACAGATCTGTGGCTTTCCTTAACTCTGAAATATCTTCAGGAGTTGGCCCCTCCCCCTCGTCTAAATCTTTAAGGAGGTCGGCCTGGTATGCCTGCAAGATAGCCATAGAGTGCAGACATGAACCAGCCCGACCTGCCGCCATGTAAGCCCAGCCTATTAATGCAGATGTATCTCTGCAGGGCTTACTAGGCAGCGCCGGGGTTTTTAGGGAAGATGCCGACTCAGGGGAAAGATAACCCGCTAGAGCCTCCTCCACTTTAGGCATCTTCCCATAACCCATGTCCCGTGCCCCCATAACATTACTGTAATCCACCATACTGGGATTGGAGACACGGGACGAGTGCGGTTTATCCCACGATCTCGTTGTGGAGATCGGGGAAAAACGGCAAACCCCGGCGCTGAGGTTGTGACCTGTGCTGCAGGAAACGCTCATCAAGCTTACTTTTCACTTGCGTTCCCTGCTCATCATGTGGCCAGCTGATGTTAAGTCTGGCCACAGCACGAGTCACAACCTCTACCAGCTCCTCATAACCTTGGCCGTGAACTGGCGCGCCCAAATCACGGTCATCCGCATCAATACTGAGCATATCTACTTCCTCTGAAGCAGAGAGCTCAAGCATTGGGACCTGATCGTGGGCAGGAGAAGCCGCGATGCGGGCTCCTGCACCACTCTCAGGGGCTACGGGATCCTCAGACGAAGAATGAGAAAGTGCCTCAGCAGTCTCATTCTCATCTGCAAGATCCCGCTGCGAACCCCACGATCTCAATCGCCGCGCCGCCTCAACGGACGCGGGACCAGAACCGTGGGGAACGCGAGCCTGACCGTGCTCATCAAAGCACGCCAGCCGGGAGCGCAGCACTCTAATGGGTAGTGCATCACAGTCTGCACAAGCAGCTCCCTCAAGAGCTGCTCGTGCATGCTGCGGTCCCAAACAATTCACACACAAAGCATGTGTGTCCCCACCCGTGATAAAACGAGGGCAAGGGTGCACACATCTTTTAAATTGTTCGCTGGCCATAATTCCGAGTCAACTGTTTGACAAACAACACCAAATAAGACAGACAGTTTCAACACAGAGCGCTTGCTGAAGAGCGAAAGCTAGTGTGTGTTGTGACAGCGTCACTTTTATACTTCCGGGTATGCCGTCACATGTTACGTCACGACGCAACACCAATCAGGATTGGATTAGTTTCATTCATACTTCAGAGGCGCACGCTTAGGGAGCGTCCCCAAAGTGTCGATTCTCGACGCAGTGTAGAGTTCCCTCGAAAGGGAACTTCTCGTGTTCTGTTCGGCAGAAGAAAGTCATTTGAAGTACATTTGGGTGATTAAATTATTGATAGATTTATAGATTGATAGATTTTTCATTTTAGGGTGACCTATCTCTTTAAGATATGAGCAAGTATAATGTTGAAAAACAAGGACAAGGCATGCTTTAACAAAAAGTTCAATAAAATGTCATAGAGATAAACATTTAATAAGGTTGTTTTTGTATTTCAGTTACTTAAAGGTGAACTAAGTAACTTTTTTACCTTAACCGAACAGCTTTGGAGTCATTGTAATGTTTATATTACTGATTTCGTGTTGAATGGTGGTCGTCTCGCACCCCCCTGGTGCCTGTGAGCCGCAAAACCACCCTTGCAACTTTGGGCCGGCGAGCCTCAGTGTTAGGAAGTATCGTGTGATATCAGGTCTCGCGAGGTAACGAATTGCTTTACGGCAAAAAAAACAGATCTGATAAAATTCTGATAAAATGAGCATCAAACAGAAATAACCCGGCGCCGTATACATGTGGTGTTGGGCGCGCGCAGCTCTTAAAGGGGCCATACCTTATTTCCACTCGTTACAGCGTCCATCCTACTGAACAGGTACCGGTGTACAGGGGGAGGGGATCCGGCCGTGAGTGCGAGCCATCTCTGCGTGAGTGCTATTCACGACAGTACAAGTGCTCCACAGCGACTCTAGGGGTCGCTGTTTGACAAAAACGGAATTCTTACTGAGTGCTGCTTTAACAGAAATGTGGAAAAACACAAGAAAAAAGCCTTGTACCTTTTCTGCAGATTCTATGCCAGCCCTGAAAGTGCGGGTACCCGGACAGCAAGGAAACATGTCTGAATGCGGCATATTTGTGTTACTCTATGCAGAGAACTTTCTGAAGGTAAGTAAAATGGTTTCATAGATGTTGGCTAGCACTTTTTTTCTCTCTTTCAATCATGGCACTGTGCATGTCACTAAAATAAAACAAATAATTTATGTTTCAATTCTTTCCTCTAGGATCCTCCCAAAGAACTAATTGATGAACTTGACTGTACATCCTGGTTTACACTGGCCGATGCATTTTCAAGGCGTGCACAGATCAGGGACAAAATGCGAAGTAGTTTAGAAGGTGTGTTTGTCTATTTTCTAATGAATATAGCCTGATGAAATCAATTCAGTTAAAATATCTAAAATCATGTGCCACTATTTTCTTACATTTTAGGAAGATATTTTAAATACAGCATAGGGTGCACAAGCATAATTTTCTGTTGTTTTGATTTGGCAGATGATATACTTAACCTGTGCAACAATAATCTTGTAATACTGGTGACTGACTATGAGTTTTGTTTATGCAGCACAGGCAAGAGAAGCAGAGGAAAACAAAGCAGAAGAAAGAGAAAGTGAAGAGGAGCAAACGGTTGCTGAGAGTGAGCAAGAGAAAAACATAGTCAAGAAAAGAAAAATAGAAGGTATAGAGGAGGAAAAGATACCTGAGGAAAAAAAAGAAGACAAAACAACCCAGGGAGGAAACTATACAGTTCTGGGTAGGCTGTCAGTGCCAGGCACCAAAAGGAAGTACACTGTAACCCAAGATGAACTGAAGAGAAGAATCATGGCAGAAAACATGTCTAACAATCTGTTAAGAAGCCTGATTAGGGTTTGTATAGGCTCTATATATAAACCTTATAGCTATTTGCTATACTTTTAAATTAGAGCAAAACATTTATAAAACAGTAACATTGGTTTTACCTAAAGGTTCGTAAAGAGGATCTCCCTGAGGAGCTCAGAGAACAGCGGCCGATCAAAGCAAAGACAAAGATAAGCATGTTCTCTGCTCTCAGTGAAGGGGAGGCCACAGATTTGGCCCAGGATCTGGGAGCCATGCTTGGGCGACATGTAAACCTAGACATGACTGAAAGTGTTCCCAGTGCTGAGGCAGATGTTGCAAAGTAAGTTGCTTTCCACATCTAGATTTTTTAAAGTAACAACAGGTAACTTTTCAACCTTCATAATATATTTCCAAGTCTCTTGTGATGGTACATCGACTTACAATAGGTTGAATGACACGTCTGCCATAGCCTGACGGGGTCTGTAGCGTTTTTAATCGTACTTTTAAACTTCGGGTTTCGGGTAGTAACCGGCGAACAAAGAGAACTACAAAATTCGACTGCTTTACGGCATATACGTCACTTCCACCACCACCCCCACTTCCTTAAAATCGGACTTGCGAGCCAAATGTTATAGTCATGGCCGAAGCAGCACAGAAAAACAAGAAAGCAAAGGTTTTATCGGAGCAAAGCAAAAAGAGAAAAAGAGAAAGTGATCGCGTTAAAGGCAGAACGAGGATCAACATTGCAGAGCTGCCAACTCTCACGCATTGGCCGTGAGACACCCGCATTTGATTGGTTTCACACGCTCACACGTACGCCACACCCCCGGTTTCTCACGCTAAATTGTCAACCCGGTCGGTCAAATCCCTGAAAGATGAGTTTATCTATAGATCTACCTGTTGAGCCACTCGTGATCGACAAGTTATACCGCAAATTAGTTCAAATCTCCCGGAATCTAGAGCGAGCGCGCACGCGAGACAGAGACTGTGCTCCAACGCGCGCGGACGGCAGAGAGAGAAAGCGAGCGAGAGACCTTTGCGTGTGCAGGGAGCATCGAACCCTCCATCGAAAAAAGAATGCCTCTCTCTAACCTCTCTAATTCGCTAGAGTAGTAGCGAATTATCAATTTGGTAGCTAGTAAACGATATTCTAGTTTTTGATGGTTAGCTATCGCTAGTATTCTCGTTCTGATTTGAACTTTGCAATCGATGAAATGCAAATAGCAAATGTTTGACCTAAAAAGTGTAGTCTACTCAACATGTACAAAGAAAGGAGGAAGATTATTAATAAAATCATATTTTAGGATACCTAACATGTCTGTGATATTTGTTTATTTGTCTTGCCTCAAGCTATAATGCAAAACGATTTGTAAAATTTGCAGATTCATTTATGGTAGGTTGATATTATAATATTGACGATATATGGTTATTATCAACCACTCAAACATTGCATTGAAGTATCATATAGATCCAGTAAAACGGTAACCAATAGACTAGGCTACTATAATGACGCTGGCTTGTAAACGTGAGCATCGCGATCATTTGTCGTTAGAAAAAAAATAAAACCCATGAAATTATATTCATATGACATGCTGAAATATATGCCACTGTACCTGGGATGAAGACATTTCACACGCGACGCAAGCAGAACACCTGCATGTGACCTCCTCCTACAGTGTTCAGGGCTATCCTGGTTGTCAACAATTGCACGTGCATGTAGGATGACAGAGTTTACGACAGTAGTAGAGGACAATACTGTTTCCCAACTATAGGGGGAGCCCGAGAGCAAAAAAACGACCTGTTGTTACTTTAAACTTGAATCTTGCTTTAAAATCTGTCCATTGATATTTACAGGAATACACTCTGCACTCTCCAGCACTTGCTAAGGGAAAAACTGGGAGAGGAATCACCTTTTAGTCTGCTAACCCATACGCTTGGACCACAAGTGGTAGATGTTGTCATCTCATTTTTAATCAGTCAGTTTAAGTAGAGGTTCACTGAGCCATTAACCCATTTAATCCCAAATTTTTCCCAGACATAAAAATATCCAAATCATGTGTCATTAGTATCCCTTTGAAACAATCAATCATAATTTTTTTTAATTTTCTTGGAAAAGTGTGTGAAAAAGTGAGTTTTATGATCGGTCACAATTGTGACCGGTGGGATAATGTGTTGTATCTACCATTAGACAGACTGAATATAGGTCTATAGGACCTGTGCAGTGTGT